GGTGTTTTCAACTGCTGTGGAAGGAGCCTACTACCCCTGCCCTGTCTCCTGGGCAGAATCAGGGTTGAAGTACAAGGGAGAAATGATAGCAGAATTGGTCAGCCCCATATCCAAGTGACTTTTAAGGAAAAGAGGGCAGAAAGAGACAGGGCCTCAGCCAGGGTGTCCTTCAGCTGGCTTCGGAGGGCTGGGGCACATCCCTGAAGGAAGCTGCTTATGACCCCGCTCCAGCCTGAGGTAGGACTGCCACTAGCAACTGCCAGGGGTGCTTGGCTTTCTCAGAGAAGCCACCAGAGCTGCAGATCTAGCCCCGAATACACAACTGGGGTGAGGGTGCACACTAATAACTGCTGGGCTCCTACAGTGACCCCAGAGTCCAGACCTGGGAGGGACACCAGAACCCAACAGTGGGTCACCTTGCTCAGATAGAAACATGACTGACAGGTCCTCTTCAATCCCTGGTGATAAGCCCTAGCAGGCCAGAGTCCTCTGGAGCAAACACCTGTGTGGCCTAGCTGCCCCCTGCTCTGAGGCCAAGTTACAAGCCTTGTCTGTATCACAGTTCCCTGGGGCCCCACCCTTGGAAACTGCAGGTGGCCTCCTGAGCATGGGTGGGGTATTTCTCTCCTCAGGGCCGAGTCAAACTCAAACTCCACCCCACTGGGGCTCCGAGGGAGCACAGCAACTTTGTCTAGGGCGTCAGGAGAAGGCAAGGGGCAGCACAGCAGCCCCAAATGCCTTCTTGGCATAAGGTACCAGCACCCTACCCTTTCCCAGCTGTCCCCAGGCCTGTTTTCTTTTCACAGCAGCTCAGTAGTATAGAACCAATCTGAGTTCTGGATATGGACAGATGTGGGTTGGAATCCAGCCTCCATAATTATTAGCTGTGTCATCTTAGGCAAGCCCCTTCAGAGTGTTGGTTTCCTGATGGGGGGGCAGTGTGCACCCGTGCGATAGTACACTGGAAGATAACACACATGGGAGGTTTGGCACAGTAATTGGCACACAATAATCATTAGCGATCTTTGTGGTCATCATCCAGCAGCTGTATGTTGAAGTTGGTCCAAGTTTTTAAAACAGTTTTAATTGTGTGTATGTGAGTGTCTATTCATGAGTATGTACATGTGAGTGTCGATGTCCACAGAGGCCAGGGGTGTCTCATCCCCCTTGGAGCTAGAGTTTCAGATTGTTGTGAACTGCCTGACTTGGTTGCTGGAAACTGAACTCTGGTCCTCTAAAAGAGCAGTATGTGCCCTTAACTGCTGAACCATCTCTCCAGTCATCTCTCAAGTTCTTGTAGATATCTTCTCCATGGGTGAGGAATGGGTGAGGTGGATATCTGCCCCTCCTCTTTCAGTCTGTCCTCTTATCCTTGACCCATTGATTTCAGCATCTCTCCAACTGAAATGAAATTCAGCTTAGATGTCACAGACCTACCTCACTACCCAGCTGCTGGAAATGGGGGCTTCTGCAGTCTGTACTTCCAGGAGACCAGCGGCAGTGGGTCTCTCGGGAGCTTCTTGGAGCTGGGAAAACCAATTGGCCAGCCAGTAAGGCCTTAGACTTGGCCCACAAAGGAGTGCTTGGAAAAGGTGGGCACCAGCTTCTCATTCCTTCCCTCAGGCGTGCTGCCTCTGGGACAGTGGGCAGGGGTCTGATGAGCTTGGTATGGATGGTGAATGTTTTGGAGTTAAGAAATAGCATCTGACAGAGGCCGAGCTTCCTGCTGGGTGTTCCAACAGGGCTGTCTGGAGGAAATACCTCCCCTTGGCCCTTCCCTGTACAAGAGTGGATTTTTGGATCTGTGCCTAGAGTTGTGAATGAAGGCCCAATGGCTCCAGAGAATGACACTCTGAGTAAGACCCAGCCCTGTCAACAAGGGGGCTTCACTTCTCCCAGGATTTCAACTCTTCCTCAGCTGGCCCCACTGGAGACTTCCAGAGAGATCAAAGAAAGCTCTTATCCTTGGAGTTAGAGCGGTCCCAAGCACCCTGCACACTATATATCAAGAGATGTTGGAAGCTGATACCCAGGAGCCTCTGTCTGTCTTCTTGCTGCCTGGGGAAACTGAATGAGCAAGCCAGCTTCATCAAAGGCAAGGAGACCCCTGTGACTCACCAGAAATGCCCTCAAACATCTGTGAGCTTGGGTCACCATGGCGAGGGGACAGGGCTCAGCCCTACCAGGTGAAAACCAGCCTAGGCTCCACAGACCTGCCTCACCACTGAGCTGACAGAGGTGGTGGCTTCTCCTGTGATCCCCCCTCTAGAAGGTTTACCTGCTGTGTCTGAGCCCTGCCCCCTTGCTAGTCTACCGCACTAGAAAGTGGTCGTCAAATGGCCATGATGCCATCCCAACCCCAACCAAATTCATCTTTCATTGACCTCCTAGCTGCTCAGACAAGAGCTTCCATTAGTGGTTAGACTGAAACTCTTAGGAACTGCCGGGAGAAACACTGTCAAGTCCTTAGGGTGATCATAGGTCTAAATTTCGTTCCATTTACATTGACTTTGCCCTGTTCCAGGCACTGCTGGCCAGTGAGTTAGTGCAAGCTGCCATGACCTTCAGGTGGACAGTCAGACCTCACACTGTCTTCCAGGCAAGGGCTGAAATCCATAGTAGGATGTGGGAGGACCCTTCTACAACATGGAGGTCTTCCAGGCTTGGTTCCTAGATCCTAGCTGCCTTGTGATGGGGAAATAGAGTTTGGGCCCCCCCCCCTCTCTGGACAGTCAAAGGGGTTGGTCCCATCCGTTTGAGGAGATTGGGACTCCGTAGTTCTGGAGATTGGGAGCTGATGGCATAATGCCTCTAGTTTCCTGATAATGTGCAAATGAACTTTGCTTATTAGAGCATGAGAGATTCCCCTGCTGCATGGACTTCATACTGTCCACCCCCTGCTCTCCATCAGGAATCAGGCTGAAGGACAGAAGCAAGTCTTGCTGTCTGTTAGGGTTTCATTCCTACCCTCCATCTCTCCCCAGTTCACTCTAGCTGACTTCACACCACTCTTACCTACTATTAACTAAAAAAAATTTAATTTTAAAACCCACCCACTAGAAAATGCCATAGAAGCCACAAAAGACTAAACACCCCAAATCTAGATCTTCTCAGTAAGGACTGAGCCCTGGAAAAGCTTGGGAAGGCTATCCATCTTCTCCATTCCTCCATCCCCAGTTAGGCATTTTGTTTTTTTAATAGCCCCAGCTGAACTGGAACTCGCTATGTAGACCAGGCTGGCCTAGAACTCACTGAGATCCGCCTGCCTCTGCCTCCCAAGTGCTGGGATTATAGGTGTGCACCACCACACCCAGCTTAGTGAGGCTATGGGCAGGGCCTGTGATCAAGGCCTACCCACCCCATCATACAGAATAGCCACCCAACAAGAGCCCATGGGCCATTCACACAGCACCTGCATGCTTAGTGGTGGTGACAGACTGTTTTCCAGTTTTCCCCTCATCCTCTCACTCAGCCTTCCCTTCCCGCAGAGCCCCACACTCCTCCCAGAGTCCTGGGCCCAATGGGGGATGGGAGGGGTCACAGCCCCAAGGGGTTTGGTATTGAAAATAGGGAAGATCATACCCCTGAGCAATGCTGTGACTGTCATACCACCACCCCTGCTCCCGCCAGGTAGTGCAGGTGATACCACTGCTGGAGAAATGGGGTGCCATACCCAGACCTTCCATCCTCAGGCATTCCTGGGAGCTGGGCTTTATCCTAAGGAGGAACTGTCATATACAGGAAGTTCCTTATCTATAGTTTGCAGAAACAGTGTTCTGATCCAATACCTGCTCATAGATTATATGCATTAGCCTAGCCGCCGCCCTGGAAAGATGGGAGCAAAGAAAAGTCTACTTCAGCTTGGGGGGACGGCTCAGTCAATAAAGCACTGGCTTTAAAAGTATGAGGACCTGAGTTCAACCCCTAGGACCCATGTAAAGTCAGGTGTGATGGCACACACTGGTAATCCCGGTGATGGCAAGATAGGCAGTGGGAGGCAGATCTCTGGAAGCTCTCAGGCCAGTTGGTGGAATTGCAAGCCAATGAGCCGCTCCCATTTCTAACAAAGTAGAAGGTACTTGGGGAAGGAACACCCAAGGTTTTCTTCTTCTGTGTACACACACACACACATCTGCTTCATAAAGTCAGCCAAGGTTTTCCTAATGTATCAGTCTGCTACAGGGCTGGTAGTCAGTGCCTGCCCTCCATGTCTTCCATCCCCTCACTCATTCAGATCTACCCCCAAGCTAGTAACTACCTGCACAGTCCAAAGCACAGCCACTGGCCACATGTGGCTATGTAAATTTTCACTGAAATTAAAAGCCCAGTTCCTGAATATATCTACTGGACACATTTCAGATGCTCAGTTGCCACAGCTGACAGTCCCGGGGCACAGACCGTTCCCATCGCTGTATAAAGTGGACATCCAGTGAATCCCTGGAACAGCAGGCCTTGGGGACACTCCTGGGCTGCTGTCTGTGACATACTAACTGCCCACTTTTGGGAATGGCACCTGTGGGTTCAGCAGGACAAATAGTCTAGGCACATTCCTCAGAAGAACTGAAAGCCCAACAGGTCCCAGGCCCCAAGAGTTTAAAACCAACTCCCTAGAGCTGGCAGGACAGCTCAGAGGGCAAGGACACCCTGCTACCAAGGCTGATGGCCTGAGCTCACCGAGCCTCAGAGCCTTGTAGAAGGAAAGAACCAACTCCCACTGTTGCTCTCTGACCCCATGCATGCCATAGCACGCATACACACACAATAAACAAATATATAGACATAATTTTTTTTAAAAAATCAACTCTGCTATGGCACAAATGTCCCTATGACATACCTGTCCCTTCCCCTGCCATCTTCTTCATGACCATAACTGGAAGGGTCTATGATGCATGTCAGTGCTCACCCCTAGCTCAGGCAGGATACCAATGAAGATACACATCGGGATAGTTTCATAAAAAGTAAAACCAACTACAATTTCTCTCTAAATAAAAGGCCATACACTTCATAAACAATTTTTTATAAAAAGGCAAATATACATATTTACACACATCCATACGTGATCACACATGACTTAGTAGTTAGGTGGCGTTTCCAATTTCAAAGTCACGCCAAGGCACTCACGTTCCTGTCCCTGGACCTGCTGAGAGCTGCCAGGGCCTGAGCGGGGTGGTGGGCACCTGGCAAGGCACTGTATAAATAAATGCGAAGGCCGAGATTTGGGGGGGGTGTTAGTGTACACCTCTGGTCAGAGAAATGTGGCAAGGTCCACAGAGAAAGTGCCATGTTTTTTTCCCCAAGCCCCACAGCTGGAGCAGGGATTGGGGCAGACCACCTCTGAGGCTGAGGAAGTCCAGCCCCACACAACCTTATTTTTCCTTCACATTTCACTGGCTTTGGAACAATCCCCAGGGCTCAGCTGGGAAGGGAGTCGCTTCTTTGGGAATAGGATTCACTTAGTGCAATTGTCTCCTAGTGCAGAGCCCAGCCCTGGGGTCAGTGCTATGCTCTTCTGAGGTCACTGGTCTGGTCCCCTTGGGACCAGCTCAACAAGACCCTCTCCAGGCCAGAAAAGCCAGAGGCTGACTCCTGTCCAAGTCTTTCACCTCACATCAGTCTCAGAACCCTAATTCCATCTTCCCAGAAGGAAGGACCAGCTTCACCCCACAAGACAAACCCAGACCCTGGCCTTCCAAGCCCTGAGAGTCCACTGTCCCAAAGTGGGGCTGCACACTTTGCCATGCCGAGGGGTCCACCACACGCAGTCCAACTTCTCTGCACCACAGCCACCATGATGCCGGGTCTTGCTCAAGAACAGGTCAGGGGCCAGCTACGGTGCACAAGGAATGGCCTGGATGGAGGTCAGCCTCACAGGGGAGGCCAGCAGGTTGTCCAGCCAGTTGTTTTCCATGTTCTTCAGATCCGTGAAGACACGCTGTATGCCCATTCCGATGTCCCCTAGAAGGTGGCAAAGAACATCCTATGAGGAACGGAGTAGGGACTCTCACACAGCGGTTCCTGAAAGCCAGGTGCAGCCTACAGGCCAGCAGCAAGCACCCCCCTCATCTTTAGGCCACCCTCACCATGGGAGCAGCAGCTACCCACTGGCCCAGTTTAAAAAGGATGCTTTACCTGGCCATCCCCTGCCTCTGTTCCCAAGCTCTCCCCAGCCCTCATAAACTTTCCCCTTCTTCCAGAAGCCAAAAGGATCAGGAGGCTTCTAACCTCCGGGGCTGTCAACTTCTGGCTCCTCCTTACAGCTGAAGTCTCCATAGACAGAGGTGGGCTGGGTGCCAGGTTCATTGAGCAGGTAACCCTTGCCATCCACATTTGTCGGCTGCCACTCAGACTGCTCAAAGAGCTGGAGACAGAGAGCAAAAGCTGCCTTTCAGTACAGACTCACCCTGTGGCCCTGCCCTAAGGAACCAACCCTTCCCAAGTGGGATCACACCCTTGGACATTTTCATACTCTGGAATGGATGACAGTATGCAAAGCGGCCAGGACAAGGCCCAAGAGCGGAGAAGCACAGACCCACACTGGCCCTGCTCCTCGGGTCACTATCCCCCTCTTCCCACCCCGACCCTCTGGCACCGGAATCTCCATGACTTTCCTTCCACTGTAGGAGGACTTAGCAACTAGCCGTACAGCTTAAAGCAAAGGTTAGCATAACAAGCCAGGAAACGATAACCAAGAAAGCGAGAGATAAGCAGCTAGGCCCAGATCTGTTTTCTGTGCTCATCAGACAGAGCCAGGCTAAAACTACCTCAAAAACTATTTTATATTCATTTTTATAACAGCAGAAGAAAAAGAATAAACTTGCTAAGAAAAATTTGTTTTGGTTTAAAAGCCACGTTATTACAGATCCTAAAAGCTGATTATTGAAACCTGATGTGTATTTCCCAAACTTGAGGGCTGGGCATGTTGGGGTGGAGGACACAGCACTGATGGGGGCTGACTCACAGAGCTGTCTGGGACCCTGAGGCTTGTTTCGGGATGGACAGTTGGAGACTAGGCCTACCTGCCCTCGGTACCCAGTGCCCCCCCTGCCTGCTAAGGCTGCAGTCCCCAACTGCATGAGGTGGCACTGTGGGGGAGCTATGCAGGTGACAATACCACCTGCCCACACTGATTTGGAGGCTTTCCCTGGCTCCCTCACAGAGGAATAGGCCCAGGACGGAAGGTTAGCCTAACAAGCCAGGAAGGGGCTTTACCTTCATGATGTCCTCAGGTAACTTCCCCTCTTCATCCTCATCTGTTGCAGCTGAGGATAGGGAAAAACAGAAATGTCAGTTGACAGTTTGCCACACATCCTGCGACTCCAGCCTCCCGGGCTCCCCTACCAGACAGATGCACACAAGTACACACCTCCCAGCCAGCATCTGCCTGCCTTACTTAGAGGAGATTCCAGAACAGGACACTGGCCTGATGACTCACCCTCCCAAACTAGGGAGCAAGGCCACATCCCACCCCTTTACTTCCTCCTCACCCTCAGACACTGGGCTGCAGAGGAACCAAGGAGCACAGGAACACTAGCTACCTTTGACAAAATGCAGCTCTGCTTCCCTCCCTTCTGGCCCCCATCCCATCAAAGCCCTCAGCCTACTCTGAACTGCCTTCCTGGTGTCCCACGGCTTGCCTCATCCAGTGGAAGCTGGGGGAAGCAATACCCAGCCCCATCAGCTCCATGGTTAAGTAGACTTCTGAGCATCTTTTCTCTCTCAAGACCCAAACACACAAGCAGCAGGCCAGGCCCTGGGAATACAAACCTTCAGAAGTGGAGGCGATGGGTGACACCTGTAAGTTATACGGGTCACTGGTACTGTCTGGCACAATTTCCATCTGCATGTGCCAATCAGACAGACTGCTACTGTCGACACACGATGACAGTCCTGGGGGTGAGGGGTAGTAGAAAACAGGTTAGAATGGAGTGCTTTCTTAGTCTGTCAGGTGCTCGGCTCCCCTACCCTGCAACCTGCTCTATCAGGCCACCCTCTGCCACCATGATGTCACTTAGACCCAAGATAAGGAGCCTGAGCCACCACCTGTATGCTCCACTCCCCTGCCGAACTGGCAAACTCACCTGGAGTAAGGTCCCGCTCCACGTCCAGGTCCTGACCCAGATAGCCCTGGCTTGTGTAGCTGCTGTGGTCGTCCGGTAGGGTGGAGCTGCTGAGTCCATCGGAGAAGGTGTCAGGGCTAGAATCTCCGCATAACTGCAGAAAGAAAAGCACTTAGGCCTATCACAGCACTGCCCACCCTGACCCACAGGGACCAAAGGCCGGGCTGCCTGCCTTAGAGCCACACTCACCTTCCTCTTAGCCTTGTTCTTAGTGTCTCGGCTGGATTTGGACTTTCTCTCTGTGGGACAGACAGCCTGTCAGCCTTGGTACAGGCTAGCCCGCCCCAGCTGATCTTGGTTCAGCCCGTCCTTCTTCCCTTCCTCCTGAGGACCCAGAGCCCTTGGCTACCTTTCTTCTGGTTCTTGGTGAGAGGCGGCAGCATCCTGTACACCCGCACTGCTGAGCTGCCCTTGTTCCTGCTCTGGTCCTTCACTTCCTCAATGTCCGGCAGGGAGTTCATGGCACAGCGGAAGTTTGCCTTCCACGTCTTGGGATCTGGCTCTTTTTCCCCTGCTTTGTATCGGCCTACAGAACAGGAGTGAACAAATGTATCCGTCAGCTGCCCCCTGGCCTAGGAGAAGAAAGCAGCAGGAATTGCTGGTGACAGGCCCTGAGGCTTCTCAGATGCCCAGGCGTGGCTCAAACATCCAGCAGGCTCAGTGGGCACAATAGTGCACCTCCATCCCCTAAAAGTGTGTTCACTGTCCTGAATCAGGACCAGTCTCTCTGCAGCCAGAGAGTAAGGACTGAGGCTTCCCTGATGTTTTCAAAGTAGGAAGGGGTACAGAGTAGGCAGAAAGAACAGTTAGTAAAATGTAAGCTGACTGGTCTGAGCTGGGCCAAGGGCCTGATCCTTCAAAGATGAAAGGAGGCCACCAACCAGATGTGTCTTGGGCCAACGACCTTAGTCAACACCTTAAGAAAAATGTAGGTCTCTTTTGGTACCCTGACTCACAGGGTCTTCTCTAGAGAGAAGTTCAGTCTAGCCACAGACTCCCTAAAGGCGTGCTTTCTAAGAGTTTTGACTTTATAAATCCTCTGGGAATTTGCTAAAACAATAGAATCTGTCCTGGAGAAAATACTGGTTGTGCCCTATCCCCACCCTGGTAATTCTGCAGACTGTGTTGGGAAGCTCAGGGGCTACCCACAAGCCTATATGGTAACATTAGTGTCTCTGCATGTCTCTTCTCTGTCCCCAGGCACACCTGTGTGAATGGCCCAGCTCCGGAACAAACAGGCATCCTTGTTGATGTCCCAGCCATGCTTGGCTGCGTGCTTCCATGGGATCTGGAAGATCATCTCTTCCTAAACAACACATACACAAGACCGTGTCAGCTCAGAGACCACAGGCCTTGACACTGAGTATGCCCAGCCCCCAAGCCTGGGAAAAGGCTGACTTCCCCTTTTCACCCCAACATTTGACTTGGGGTAACCAGGTCCTGAGACTGCCTTAAATAAGCCACTCTGCACCTGTCATGAGGGGTCTGGGTTCTGATGAGCCATAGCACCAACAGCTCAGCAAGACAGCCTGCCTCACACACCTGTTGCAGATGTGCTGGGAGCCACATGGTGCCCCTCCCCCATCCTTCATCTGGAAGCTCTAGGATGCTTCTCTGTGGCTTGTCAGCATCGAAACAGAAAAACGCCTTGTATGAGCAGTCTGCCCCAGACACCTGGTACCACTGGCTCCTACACATGGGGTCCTGATCACATCCCTGAGGCAATCCTAGACTAGACTAGGATGTTGACTACCTGTGTGGGATTGGCACTATACCACTCTACCCTAAATAAGGGCATTTTCTTAAATGAAAAAGCATACCTCAAAAAAGTGTTTTTTTTTAATTTAAAAACATTTCATTAGCATGTACTTCCTTATAATTACATTGAAAGTCCTTGTATAGGTTGGAGAACTTGGAAAGGGAGTAAATGGCAAACTGTTGATGTCCACTATAATTGTTAAATATTTACTGTTTTGTTGTTTTTTTTTATGCTATAAAGTCAGAGTATGCATGGGGCCAACAGTAACAAAGACTGAGGTCTTTTCAATTTTTAAAAAAAAAATTTGTGTGTACGTGGTGGGGCATGTCAGGGTAGGCACTGTGGAAGTCGGAGGACAACCTGCAGGCATTGCGTTCTCCTACCATGTGGGTGCTCAGGCTGACAGGCTTGGTGGCAAGCACCTTTACTATGCTATAAAGTCAGAGTATGCATGGGGCCAACAGTAACAAAGACTGAGGTCTTTTCAATTTTTAAAAAAAAAATTTGTGTGTACGTGGTGGGGCATGTCAGGGTAGGCACTGTGGAAGTCGGAGGACAACCTGCAGGCATTGCGTTCTCCTACCATGTGGGTGCTCAGGCTGACAGGCTTGGTGGCAAGCACCTTTACCCTCTGAGCCATCTCACCAGTCCTAGATTAAGGTCATTATTACTGTCATTATTACTGGTGACTTAATTATATAAACTTTTGATGAGACCGTTCAAGTTCAAGTCTTGGCTTTCACATTTTTTGTGTGATCTTGCTCTCTATTTTTAAGTGCCTCAGTTTCCCTACTTGAGACCTACCTCATGGGACAACTATGAAGATTAAGATACGCAATTTGGATAACATACTTAGCAAGTTGCCAGGCACATAGTAAATGTTATTAGAATTAGCAATGTTATTATTGTTACTAAGTCTACAAAGTCCGTGCTGCCTAAGTGTACCACCTAAAGATTTCTTGGGCCAGACTAACTGGATCACCTACAGAGCCAGCCACATTTCTGCCTAGGGATGCCCACTTTTCTGTCCCCTGTCTATCTAATTGGAGTCACTTAAGATACTGTGTATACGGCAAGAGTCTCTCTTGGAGGAATCAAGAACTCAAACCCTGCAGATGCTAGGAGTCAGAAAGGACTCTGGAAACCAAGACCCATGCCAGGGCCTTGCACATCCCTGCATGTAGGACTCACTGGGAAACACACCTACCTGCCCTTTTATTTCTACTTATAAAACTTTGGTCCCCCAGGGACCATGCGTTAAAAGAGTGGCAGAAAAACCCAAAGAGTTACACTCACTTTATTAATCCAGATCAGCCCCGGGATCTGGTTGGAATTGATCTGCATCTCTAGCCAGGGTCTCATGCGCATCCGAGTGATGGGCATGGTGGCTGTAGAGAAAAGACAGGGCCTCTGCTTAGAGTCTGTTGAACAATCCTGGGCACTACCCTGCCCCACCCAAGGCCACTCAATTACCTTCCCATGCCCTCACACCCAGGTCATTACGGGCCCCTGCAGTCAGCCAGGTACCAGGATCTACAGTCCTAGGGAAGGGAGCCTGCACTGAAATGAAATTGGGCTCCAAATCTCCCCAGCACTCTAAGCAAAAACACCTGCCCTTTCTCTCCCAGTTACCCCCAGGAGGCAAGCAAGTCTGGATGGCTTCAAGATTTATGTGCAAAACTGCCAAAATATAAAGATATGTTAATGCCAGAACTTTTCTTTCAAAATTCAAATCTTTGGGAGAGGGAGGGACTTCTTTTGGTTGAAGCCAAGAAGAAAGCTGACTCGCTGCCATCAGCTCCCTGATGGGCAAGCAGTTATCCTCCAACCCGGGCACTCCCCCCCAGCCCCCCCCATCCATTCTATGCTTCTCTGACAGCCAGTGCCCACAATGCTTTAGGCTGGGGGCTCAACCCCTTCCGCTCTGGTTTCCCCTCCTGTAGAGAGAAGTGGCGCAAGAACACCTGTGGCGCCTCCTCCTAAAACCCCGGGTAGGTCACGGTCGCGTCCAGCCACTTAGGGCAACGAGCCAAGCCCCGGCCACCAAGCATCAAGTCTGAAACCTGGGGCCTGAGCGTCAAGCTGCAGCCGCCAAAAGCCCGCGCCACGGACGCGCGGGCGGACAGCGGCGTCCCCCCGCGCAGCTCGCGGACGCACCAGAGGCCCCCGAGCGCGGCCAGGGGGCGGTGCACGCCGCGGCCCGCCCTCCCCTGCCGCCGCTACTGCGCCTGCAGCGCCCTCCCGACCGGAGTGTGGGGGGTGTCCGGGGGCCCCACTTCCTGCTGTCCCACGAGCCTTTTGTTGCACGTCCCCGCGCAGCCCAGGGCTCACCTTTGCAACAGGAGCGATCCACTCCGACGGTCCCGGGGAGAGAGAGGCGAAGGGTCTGCGGTGTAGTGGAGCGGGATGCGCGGACAAAGCCGAGGATGCGCGGGGTGCTGCAGGGGCGGCGGGCCACGGCTCGGCTGCGTTCGGCTCGACTCGGCCCGGTTGGACGCACGTCTTGCCTCGACGAAGGAGTGGCGCGCACTGGCGAGTCTGCAGCGCGGAGAAGCAATCTAAACACTTAGCGGGATTCCCCGGCCCGGGCCGGGCCACGCCCCCACCGCTCCGTTTGGGCGCGCCCATTGGCCCGCGCCGCCTCATCATTTCGGGGAAATCAGGCTGTTGTAGAGCTAAGCAGCGAAGGGGAAGTACAGGGCGGCTGCGCTCCCCACCCCCTCCGGCACAGCGCCTCCGCCCCGGGGCTCCCGCGGGCCCGCCCCGCGCTCCACTCCACCCCCGGCCCGCGCGCCGGCCTTGGAAAGCCGAGTCCCCGGGGCGCAGCTCTCTCCTCATTCCACCTGCAACCGGCCTGCTGGCCCCCGGGACCATCTCCTGAGTCCGAGGACATCTCCCTCCCTAGCGCAGGTCTCTGCGTCACCTACTTCCCTCTTCAGTTGGAACCTGGTCCCGAATCACCCCGAAAATCAATCTGTAATGGAGTGTCAAGAAGGGAGGAGTTCGGTCCGTGCATGGCCTCGGGTGACACCCCTCCTTCGAGTCACTCAGCTGCTCCAGGAAGTTGAGGCCAAAAGCCTAGCCTGGCTCCAGGTGCTACATGGAGTTGCTGGACTGTAGGGAATCGCAGTCAGGCAGCTGCAGGCACAGCGGACTCAGGAGGAACCTTAATTTCGTCAACTACAAAATGGCAAGAGCCCCCTTGCTAATTTGCAGTGATAGTAAAGCACCATGCCCTGATGGAGAGAGGATGTTTGTGTCCTGCCTGGGCACAAGGTGCTGATGTGCCTTCCAAGGTCCCTGCCCCCCGGGAAGAGTGACCAAGGGGACGTCCCCTCCCCCACCCCTCTTTGCATCCCTGGGATTGCCTGAGAGACAAAACCGGAACTCAGAAGCAGCTGTGGACCCTCCTAGCACCCCTGCCGCAGGCTATCTCCACATCCTCACACTGGCTCTTGCAAGAGACTTCCTCTCTGGCAGTGCTGATGTCATCCCTGGGTCTCCAAAGCGAGGTCCTGGAGACTGTCACGGCAGCTTATAGAGATTACTGGCCAAGGTCATGGATCTAACCAAAGGTCTGTGGAGCCCAGGTCCCGAGGGATTGGCAAGGGCAGCAGGTTAACTCTCGTGCTCTTAAGTAGACCTTGTACCTAGGGGCTAGGCTGGGTGCACATATTCCATCCAAAACTCTGGCCCTGAAGGCTTCTTCCTTCACCTCAGCTTCTGACTCAGAAATAAATCCGACTTCCAAGGTGTCACTCCCCATCCCAGCCGTCCTTCCAGGACAGCATTCATTTGGAGTGATGCAACCTTCTACCTGACAGTCATTTGTCTCTCTCACAGGGGAGGTTCAGGAGCTAGGAGAGACCAGGAGGCAGCACAGGAAGGAGTGTTCAAAGGGAAGGCACTGAGACCCTGGAAGAAGGAGGTGGGGCGTGGGGCGTGGGGCGTTTTAGGTGGTAAATAGGAGTAGGAACTTGCCCAGGGACTAAGCAAGCAAATGATGACATCACTCTGTCAGGAGATGGATGGCATGTTCTATCACTGAGAACCCAACACAGCCACTGGGAGACTCAGAATGAGATTAAGTAGAGGAACTTTGTACCTCTTGTGACCTAGAGGCTAAGAACAGTGACCCTATTCAAGGCGACAGGAAACTACAGAAAAGGTGCATTGAAACAAAGCCTGTGTTTCAGTCACTTGTGTAGGTATACATGATGGATGTCAGAGGACGTCCTAGAATGCCCATTCACTTCATTGTTTGTGATGGGCACCTGCTTCTATCATAAGGATAAATAAAATTTACCCAGTTAATGCCCTATTGCAGGACATTTAGGTTATTTCCATTTTTTCCCCAATACAAACAACACTATGAGAGAAATCTCTGCCCACACTAATAATTTTGTGCTTAGGAGAATTCCCCTCCCCCCAATTCCCCTCCCCCCACCGTTAGGATTTACCAGTGGAACTGTCATTTATACCTTTTAAGTGTTCTGTGGACTTCTTTTCTCTTTGACTTTAGGGATTTTTAAAAATATTTTATTATTTTTATTTTATGTGTATGTGTGTATGCCTGGAGGACAGAAGTTGGATCCCTGGAACTGGAGTTACAGACAGTTGTTACCTGCCATGTGGGTGCTGGGATTGGAACCCAGGTCTTCTGCAAGAAAAGTCAGTGTTCTTAACCGCTGTGCTATCTCTCCAGCCCCTGACTTTAGGGATTCTTATGTGGCTAAACAAGTATTCTACCAACTGAGTTACCCCCAGCTAGCCTCAAACTCTCCATCCTCCTGCCTTCCTGAGATCACAGGCATGTGTCCTGAGAGCGAATAACCAGCTTCTAATGACTGATTTGCTTTTCCCGAATCCCATTCTGAAATACATCACACATTCTCTGTGATGCTAAGGGGAACATACGGGCTCCCAGAGGCTCTTAGTCATTCATGCTGGGCCTGTTCCACCCAGACTCAAAGCACTAATCTCTGACTCCTGTCCCATCTCCACTTTTTTAAGATGAGGTCCTCTTCCATTACCCAGGTTGACCTTGTACTCCAGCTCCTCCTGCCTCTCTGCCAACTGGAGTTATCGGTGCATGCCACTGCTCCTGCCCACTTTTGATAGATCCTAGAAGAGGATGGAAAGTAGACTACAGGGTAGAGTCCGAAAGCTGGAGATCGTGTGCTTCTGCCCCTCATTGCAGAATCATAAATTCTGTTCCCTGAGGGCTGGAGAGATGGCTTAGTGGTTAAGAGCACTTGCTGCTCTTGTAGAGGACTTGAGTTCAGTTCCCAGCCCCCACATTGAGCAGCTCATAACCACCTGTAACTTGAACTCCAGGGGCTCTGATGGCCTCCTTGGGCACCCATATTCATGGGCACATACCCCCATACATACATACATACATACATACATACATTCCCATAATTAAAAATAAAATGAATCTTGGGGCTGGGGAGATAGCTCAGCAGTTAAGAACACTGGTTGTTCTTGCAAAGGACCCAGGTTGGGGTCCTGCATGTGTGTAAGTGCACCTGTGTAGTGTACTGCCTGCAGAGGACAGAAGAGGGCATCGGATCCCCTGGAAATGGAGTTATGGATGGTTGCTAGCCACCCTGTGGGTGCTAGGATTTGAACTCAGGTCTTCTGCAAGAACAACCAGTGCTCCTAACCACTGAGCCATCTTTTCAGCCTCCTAAACAAAATATTTAAAAAATAAAATAAAATGAATCTTTAAAAAAATTACTGTACCCCTCTGGGCCTTAATTATCTGTGAATCATATGTAATCTCTGCCCATCTCTCCTCCTAATTGTTGAGAAGATTGTTAAATGAAATTATGGGAGGCCACTGGTTTTAAAAAATTATTTATTTATGGGGCTGGAGAGATAGCTCAGCAGTTAAGAACACTGAACATTCTTGCAGAAGACTCAGGTTCAGATCCCAGCACCCACATGGCAGCTAACAACTGTCCATAACTCCAGTTCTAGGGGATCCGACGCCCTCTTCTGACCTCTGTGGGCATTGCACGGCACGGGTGCATTCCCATACATGCAGACAATACATGCATACACATAAAATAACAAAATGTTTTTTAAAAATTACTTATTTACCCAGCCTCTTTTTTTTTTTTTTTTTTTTTTTTGGAGACAGGGTCTCC